TAACTTTTTCTGTGTAGCTTTACTCTCCTTTGTGACACTTCCTTGACTCTCTCTTCCAACCGTTCTGTTGGCTTTTTTAATCACTCACATCCCGTTTTCTTTAGTTCTGAATGCTCCTTTTAAAGGCACCCATAGCCATATTCTTATTTCCTCTAAAGACACATGTATATGCATAATATCCTTGGAGATTATGTATTTGTGGATATAATGATAACTTTGAAGGTTTTTTTCTATTTTATACATAGTTTCGTTCCTCCGCATTGATTGTTTTTGCTTGTTTTGGTCTTATTTTCCCTTTTAGAAGCGGGTCTGGTAATCCGTGGTTGTCTGCTCATGGTTAACAGTATGGAATGGAAAAGCTTACCGGAAGCCCTATAAGTGGGTGTGGCTTGCTGACCTTGCCCTTCACTGTGAGATGATCTTGTCCTCACGCACCACTGCTGAAGTCAGTCCTCAGCCCAGAGCTCCTCTCCAGAGAACAGATGGGGCTGTTGGCCGTCATGAAGCCCCGTGGGCTGGGGAAAGGGGTCTAGTGAGCCAGCTGCTTCTTAAACTTGGCTTGGTTCTCAGATGAAGTCCCTTGGGGCTTTGAATGCAGCTTTCTGGGGTTGGCTAGATCAATTATTGCTCTTGATTTTTTCCAGCTTCCAAAGTTGCTTTCTGTCTTCTGGTTTGCTGTTGAGGACATGTTTTATTCCCCAAAGATGATGACCACAGTATCTCCAACCTCACGTGCTCTTCTCACCGTGATTTTGACACTTTGGTGGCTGAAAGTGTGTGGGTAGACTGATGGGTTCAGTCAGTCACAACTGCAACACCGAGACGATGTTTGAATTTGGGCGTCACTGGCCTCTGTGCTTTAGTTTTCTCATTTGAAATAGGAGGATAACGATAGGACTGTTGCTGTACAACATTCACAGAGCATCTTGAGTTACATCTGGTGCATGGTAAGCCCTCTGTTTTATTTTTTATTTTTATGAAAAAAGATTTTTTTAATGTTTTATTTATTTTAGAGAGAGAGAGAGAGAGAGAGCAAGCAAGCTGCAGAGGGGCAGAGAGAGAGGGAGACCCAGGATCTGAAGCAGGTTCCAGGCTCTGAGCTGTCAGCACAGAGCCCAACGTGGGGCTCGAACCCACAAACTGTGAGATCATGACCTGAGCTGAAGGTGGACGCTTAGCTGACTGAGCCACCCAGGCGCGCCAGCCCTCTGTTTTAACTATTGCTATGATGACGAAAGAATCTCGGTAACTTCATTCTTGCTTCCTAAGTCTTGGCTCCTACTGTGGTTAAGAGTGCAGTGTCTTACCTCCTACAGTATGTTACCTCTCCTCGTGAACAATTGTGCCAGAGGTCAGCTGGTTGATTTTACTTATCTCTTTGGTTCTCCCACAAAGAACCAATTTTAGGGGCACCTGGGTGGCTCAGTTAAGTGTCCGACTTCAGCTCAGGTCATGATGTCACGGTTCGTGGGTTCAAGCCCCGTGTCGGGCCCTGTGCTGACAGCTCAGAGCCTGGAGCCTGCTTTGGATTCTGTGTCTCCCTCTCTCTCTGTCCCTCCCCTACTTGCACTCTGTCTCTGTGTCTCAAAACTAAATAAAATGTTAAAAGAATCTATCTATCTATATATAAAAGAACCAATTTTAGACTTTTTGGGGGCCCCTTTAGGTATATTTCCTTTTTAATCCACTTCTGCTATTATTTTTATTATGTTCTGCCTTCTGCTTTTTGGGGGAATATATTTTTTTTGTTGGATATTTACACCTATATGGTGCTTTTAGTATGTAGCTCTAGTATACACTGAGATTCAAGGTCAGTGTTTCCCAACTTCTATCATGATTTCTTCTTTAGTCCATGAGTTACTTAGAATCGTTGACTGGTTAATTTCTATGCAAATGGACATTTTCCCCGCTTAATGCTATCTTCTTTTATTACTGTTTCCTATTTTATTTTATTTTTTAATAAACATGTATTCATTTTTGAGAGAGAGAGAGTGTGAGCATGGAAGGGGCAGAGAGACAGGGGGACAGAGGATCCAAAGCAGGCTCTGCGCTGACAGCAGTGAGCCTGATGCGGGACTCGAACTCACGAACCATGAGATCATAACCTGAGCCGAAGTCGGGTGCTTGACCGACTCAGCCACCCAGGCACCCCGCTGGTTCCTATTTTAATTGAGTTATAGTCAAAGGATGCAGTCTAGGTGAACCAATTCTTTGAATTTGTTGAAGCTAGCTTTATGGTCCAGGATATGGCCAATGTTTGTATGTTTTCCCTTAAATGTTTGGGAAATAATGTGTATTTTTTTTAATGTTATTTATTTACTTATTTTTTTTAATTTTTTTTCAACATTTTTTTTTAATTTACATTTTTTTTAAAAACGGGGGAGGGGCAGAGAGAGAGGGAGACACAGAATCGGAAACAGGCTCCAGGCTCCGAGCCGTCAGCCCAGAGCCTGACGCGGGGCTCGAACTCACGAACCGCGAGATCGTGACCTGGCTGAAGTCGGACGCTTAACCGACTGCGCCACCCAGGCGCCCCTTTAATGTTATTTTTGAGAGAGGGAGAGACAGACTGAGTGTGAGCAGAGGGGAAGGGTCAGAGAGAGAGGGGAAGACACAGAATCTGAAGCAGGTTCCAGGCTCCAAACTGTCAACACAGAACCCGATGCAGGGCTTGAACCCACAAGCTCTGAGATCATGACCTGAACCAAAGTCAGATGCTCAACTGACTGAGCCACCCAGGTGCCCCTTAATGTGCATTTTCTAATTTAAGGGTGCAGTGTTCTATATACGTCTATACAGAGATCAGGTTTGTTGTTCAAATATTTACCAGTTTCTGTTACTCAATTCCTAAGTTGTTGAGAAATATCTTACCATGGTCATAGATCTTTCAGTTTCTCCTTGGATTTCTAGGAGTTTCTGCTTTATATATATATATATATTTTTTGAGATTTTATGTGTTACTGGGCACAAACCTTCTAAAATTGTTATATTTTCCTGACAGTTTGAATTTTTAACTGCTATTGATACTTTTTGCCTTAAAATGATAGCATGTCTGCTAGGAATGGTGGGGCCGGGTGTGTTGGGTGCGTCTGCCCACCTTCCACGTCCTTCCTTTGTGTGCCGCAGGCATATCTCTAAACAACACGTAACTGCACTTTGTGTCTTCAGGACATGTGGGGATATATCCACGTTTATTTCTGCCGTTCCGTTTTGTGCTTCCTACTTACTCTGATGTTCCTCCTCCCTCCCTTTTGCTGCCTCCCTTTGCATTGTCCAACTTTTCCTCGAAATTCCATCCTCCCTCCCCACCAATTCAGAAGTTATACACACTGATGGCACAAAAACAGACACATAGACCAATGGAATAGAATAGAAACCCCAGAACTAGACCCACAAACGTATGGCCAACTCATCTTTGACAAAGCAGGAAAGAACATCCAATGGAAAAAAGACAGTCTCTTTAACAAATGGTGCTGGGAGAACTGGACAGCAACATGCAGAAGGTTGAAACTAGACCACTTTCTCACACATTTCACAAAAATAAACTCAAAATGGATAAAGGACCTGAATGTGAGACAGGAAACCATCAAAACCTTAGAGGAGAAAGCAGGAAAAGACCTCTCTGACCTCAGCCGTAGCCATCTCTTACTCGACACATCCCCAAAGGCAAGGGAATTAAAAGCAAAAGTGAATTACTGGGACCTTATGAAGATAAAAAGCTTCTGCACAGCAAAGGAAACAACCAACAAAACTAAAAGGCAACCAACGGAATGGGAAAAGATATTTGCAAATGACATATCGGACAAAGGGCTAGTATCCAAAATCTACAAAGAGCTCACCAAACTCCACACCCGAAAAGCAAATAACCCAGTGAAGAAATGGGCAGAAAACATGAATAGACACTTCTCTAAAGAAGACATCCGGATGGCCAACAGGCACATGAAAAGATGTTCAGCGTCGCTCCTTATCAGGGAAATACAAATCAAAACCACACTCAGGTATCACCTCACGCCAGTCAGAGTGGCCAAAATGAACAAATCAGGAGACTCTAGATGCTGGAGAGGATGTGGAGAAACGGGAACCCTCTTGCACTGTTGGTGGGAATGCAAATTGGTGCAGCCGCTCTGGAAAGCAGTGTGGAGGTTCCTCAGAAAATTAAAATAGACCTACCCTATGACCCAGCAACAGCACTGCTAGGAATTTATCCAAGGGACACAGGAGTACTGATGCATAGGGGCACTTGTACCCCAATGTTCATAGCAGCACTCTCAACAATAGCCAAATTATGGAAAGAGCCTAAATGTCCATCAACTGATGAATGGATAAAGAAATTGTGGTTTATATACACTATGGAATACTACGTGGCAATGAGAAAAAATGAAATATGGCCTTTTGTAGCAACGTGGATGGAACTGGAGAGTGTGATGCTAAGTGAAATAAGCCATACAGAGAAAGACAGATACCATATGGTTTCACTCTTATGTGGATCCTGAGAAACTTAACAGGAACCCATGGGGGAGGGGAAGGAAAAAAAAAAAAAGGTTAGAGTGGGAGAGAGCCAAAGCATAAGAGACTGTTGAGAACTGAGAACAAACTGAGGGTTGATGGGGGGTGGGAGGGAGGAGAGGGTGGGTGATGGGTATTGAGGAGGGCACCTTTTGGGATGAGCACTGGGTGTTGTATGGAAACCAATTTGACAATAAATTTCATATATAAATAAAAAAAAAAAACTGAGCAGAGGGGCACCTGGATGGCACTGTTGGTGGCAATGTAAATTGGTGCAATCACTATGGAAAACAATATGGAGGTTCCCCCGAAAATTAAAAATAGAAGTACCATATGATCCAGCAGTTTCACCTCTGGTAGTTTATCTGAAGAAACAAAAAGGTTAATTCAAAAGGATATTGCACCTCCATGTTCATTTCAGCATTATTTATGACAGCTAAGACATGGAAACAACCCAATAAATAAACAAAATGTGAAAAAAAAAAAAAAGAAGTTATACACACTGAGAATCCTTCTTACTTTTCACAAACCTTAAAAGCCGATTCGGACGACAGAAAGTGTTCTGCAGGCTCCACTTCGTTCCAATACGCAGAGGATTCACTCTTCTGCCCCTTTTCTCAGCTCGCTGCACAGGAAGGCAACGTTCACCCGTTCAAACCTTTGGCCTTAAACGGACATAAAGTCACCAAAGGAAAACTGCCGTTTGCTCAAACTCAGGTTCGATACTTAGGGCCCCTGACCTCAGAACCTGGGCTAGATTTGGACCCAGGCCGACCTCAGGGCACCCTGAACATCCCTAAACCTAAAACCAGCACCAATTACGAGGTTTTCTTGGCCTACTAGCTGACTGCGTCAAAACTGGACTCCAAACTCTTACAGCTCAACCTCCTCATGCTTTCCTGAAAATCAACCAACCTGACCCTGTTATTTGGAAAGATCAGGATGACACAGCTTTTGGGACTTTAGGGAAAAGCCTAATACGACCCCTGCCTTTGGACGTCCTTTCAATTCCCCTTTTCCGTCTTGGTATGTGAGAGGGAAGGGAATGCCCTTGGAGCGCTCACCCCAAAATCACGGGCACCACTGCTGTCCCGTAGGGCATTACAGCCAACAACTTGAACCTGTGGCTCAGGGATGTCCCCCCGGCCCCCTTGCCTCCCAGCCATTCCTGCCACTGCCTTCTTGGTTGAGGCCACTGCGGAAATAGTCACGGGGTCCCCTCTCACGATCCTTGTGCCCCATGCAGTGGAAGCCCTCCTGAACTCTCCCCACACTCAATACTCTTCAGCCAGTCGCCTCACTTACCATCCTCCTGCTAACTGCTCCTCATGTGACTCTTCCTTTTTGCAACAGCCTTCACCCCACTATTCCTCTCTCCTCCCTCATTGACAAGACCCTCACGACTGCTCGATGTTGACACATCACCTTTTGACGCCCTGTGACAAGTTACAGGAATTTCTCTGCAGATGAAATACAGACTTTTAATGGTTCACTGATGGTTCTTATCTAAAGGATGAAAATGATAAATATCGTGCTGGGAGTGCTACTGGGACCCCTTTTGAAGTCACTAAGGGGGCACCTTTACCTCTGCCTACTTCAGCCAGACAGGCTGAGTTACATGCCCGGACTCGAGCTGGATACCCTGGCCAAGGGTAAAACCACAGGCATTTATACTGAGAGCTGGTACCCCTTCCAGTAAGTAACTCAGGACTTTGAAATAGCATGGCAACAGCGAGGGTTACCTCCAATGGAGATTAAATTTTAAATGGCTGTATCTAAATATATTACGTGCCATATTTTTAAGGGCTGCTCTGGCGTTACCAAGGTTCCTGGGCATTCCAGACGTGAGTCCCTGGAGGCCAAAGGAAACCACCTCACTGACATTTCTGCCCCAAATGCTGTTCTCTCGGAGGCCAACAGCCAGACCTCTGCCCTGGTCCAAAGGGATGTTCTCTCAAATGATAATTTGGAAAAATTGACCAGAGACCCCAAAAATTGGCCCCAGAAAAGGAAAAACAGTATTAGAAATCTAGTCATTGTTGGTTTGATAGTAAGAGAGAACTCTGGTGTGGACCAAATAACAATCTGCCCACAGAAGTTCCAAAATCCCCACTGCTCACCACTGTACGTGCTTTCAACCACTGGTCTCCTGACACGGTGATGGCATTCGTGGACCAATACAGGTGCAGAAAAGATAACAGGGTGCCTACTTTGCTCGTCCCACATCCAAGGTATAATCCAGGGAAAACCGCACTTCTCTCAGACTCTGAACCGTCCGACGGACCATTTGAGGTTTGGCAAATGGATCTCATATGGCTTCCCTACCTCAGGGAAAGAAACATGTTCTTGTCGTGGTCTGTATGTTTTGCCACCGGACCGAAGCTTCCCCTTGTAGACAGGCCAATGCTTCTTCTGTGGCTAAAATTCTGTTAAAGAAGATTACTCCTACCTGGGGGCCCCTCTCACACATCATGGTGGTCGGGAAACCCACTTCACCATTCAGGTGCTTTGTTAGTTAGGCGTGCACTGTTCGGCCGTGTGATGTTACCACACTTGCACTGTGCACACGCCACGCTCAGTCCTCAGAGTTGTCACACTCACTCGCGGCATCGTGAAGTCTCAGCTGGAAAAACTTGTGGAGACTGCCACTGGTCCTTCTAAATCTCAGATCCATTCTCCGGGGAACTCCTGGACCCTCACCCTTTGAGACAGTCACAGGACGTCCGGCCCGCTTGGCCCTGCCTCCTCAACCCACAGTCCGTAAAGGGAGGTCCCTTCCGTAGCGTCAAGGCTCGCTGCTCCTATAAAAACAACCACGGTTTGGTAAAGCAAGCTTTGCGCGGCGTGCTCCCGGGACACGCCGTCCTGCATCACCCCTGGCAACCCGGAGACTTCGTCTGTCGGAAAAGATGCCTCCGGAAAGACTCTCTTCAACCTCGCCGGCAAGTGCGACCGCAGTCCAGGGAACAGACTCTCGGATCCACGGGACACGTGCAAAGACGACGCCTGACTGGCCCTGCCCGCCATCTGGTGCGGCCTGAGGGTACGGGCTTCCCGGAACTGAAGCTGACATCTGACCAGCTTTCCCACAATGCTCCCCTCTTGCACTTTTCTTCCCCTTATTTGTGTTGGTCTCTGTCTTTTGTGTTACAGCCTTCTTCCCAACACTTGGAGATCCTCAAATATTCATTCGAGTTTAAGACCGAGGCAGAGAACATCTGACTGGAAGCTTGGGTGGGGGCTGGTGTGAGGGGTTCTCCACTTCAGACACACATCTAAGCGTTGTTTCTCTTCTGCTGGGCACTTTCCTGGGAAGACCCTTCTGTGTCTCTGACTTTCCGAGAAAGGTTCAGTAGAGATGTGGGAGGCACACGGAGAGCTGTGGTCACGTGTGGGGTGAGGGGACAGCCGCCTGGGGACAGGTAAGGGGCCGCCGTGGGTTGTGTGGTGGGGCTGCAGGGGAGAAAAGCTGTCATCCCCAAATGTGCGCTCTCTGGCATGTGTGTCTATTCTGGGCTGATTATTTTCATGAAACAGAAGGCTCAGGAAGAACCCTGACCTCCCCCAGGCGCCTCAAGAATGCAGGCAGAGAAGCCGCTTCGGGGGGCAGCCGTCGCCGTCAGTGACCCCAGGACCGCAGGAGGGGGACTGGGAGGCACCTGTCTGCCTGTTAACTCCTCCGTGTCCCACATCTGTCTACCAAACGTTTACTCTACCGTTTACCATCTTCCCTGTGAACCGTCTTCCTTCCTAACACCAGTTATTTCCAGGTCCCTCTGTATGGGAGAAGACACACACATGGGGAGTAGGAAGGTCTAATTGGAACTGATCCACATCGGAAGGGAAAGAAAATTGTTAAGATTCTCCAGCTTTCCTACATTCGGTCTGGCACCTGTTAGCGCGTGACAGAATCACACCGGTGTCAGTCGTCGAAGAAGTAACCTGCATCTCTTTCTCTGTCCCCAAAGCAGACCACACGTGTCCTGCAAGATGCTATGAAAACAGCAGCAGAGTGTGGGCACACACTGTGGGGTCTCTTACCGCATGGCCACAGCCCCCGAGTCCTGGCACTAGCACGCAGCATCCTGCAAGGACATCCAGTGTTCCCCAACCTGGTGTCCCCTTCTTCACGGCTAGTTGTCGAGACCGCGTCCTTCTGGAAATGGATTCCGCGTGAGATTTGCCTGCAGGGGGCTTCTCGGGAGCCCTGGCAGGAGCCACATGTGGGAGGGATGTGGGAGCCAGCGGAAAAGGCAGTGGCCATAGAGGCCTCATCTGATCCCTCGGGAGATCTGAGGCTGATGTGGCGCTGCAACTGCCCCTTTGTATCCCACGAGTGACAGTCACCAGGGTCAGGCTGCCGCCAGGGAAGGAACAAAAGCTGGCGGGGGGGGGGGGGCAGTTCCTGGGGAGGGCTCTACTCCTCTGAGCCCTCAGCAGGCAGCACAGCCGGCAGCTGGGGGGAGGAGAAGCCCAGTCCTGGGAGGGAGCTGGAGTGTGCCTGCGGAGGGCCAGGCCTCAGGCACCTGGCCAGCCCCCACTCCCGCAGGAAGCTGCTGTTCTGCCTTCAGAGTTCACGGTCACCTTGACAGTCTCATATCCTTCATCTATTTAGTATGCAACCACACCTAATCGGTGGGGCCGGTTCTCTGCAGGCCGGTCCCCGCCCCCCGCGATCACGGGTCAGCGTCCGCGGGCCAGTTCTCCTCCGGCTGGTCCACCCGTGATCACGTGTCAGCGTCTGTGAGCCGGTTCTCCACGGGCGCTCCCCCGGAGGTCACGGGTCAGCGTCTGGGGGAGACTCACTACCGCACAAGGACACGGCCGAATCACAGCTATTCGGAGTAGCGTATTGCGAGCTGCGCCGTACTTGCTAAAACCAGTGGCACCATCGGTCTGTGACATGAAGGAGGGGGCCCTTCTCTCTTGCCCGAACTCGAACTCCACCGTACGCACCTTTGGAACAGGGACGTGTGGAATGGAGAGACGGTCTTGCAGCAACCACTTGCTTGAAGCTGGCGCCCTCCCACCCCCAACAGACTGCATTCATCATCAGTTAATGCATAGATACTGTGGCCTCTCTCTATATCCAGGAGAGGTTAATGAACTCTCATTTAAATCACGATTTCATTTGTTGAGAGTTGCTCTTGACTGAATGCATTATCTGCTCCAGCTGTCTGTGGCCAAGGACCACAGACACACCTAACAACAGGGATTGTCTCCCAGTCTGGAGTCTGGAAGCCTGAGATCCAGCATGGGCAGGGCTGGTTCCCCTGAAGCCTCTCCCCTGCCCTGGGAGATGGCCACTTCCTCCCTGTGTCCCTCTGTGCATGTCTGTGTCCTCACGTCTTCTTATGAGGACACGGTGTAGGACCCACACTCCCAAAGATCGGCTTTCAGACCTGTGTTCAGAGAGTTTTTTCTTTAAAAAGACCAGCATGCTTTCCCTTATGGGTAGTTTGAATTTTGTGACTATATTTATACGTATTCGTTGTGCCCAGAGTTCAATTTTTGGCCCGTGTTTAGCACATCAAGTGTCATCAGAATCGCCCAGAGGGCTTGTTAAAAACAGATCACTGGGCTCCACCCCCGGAGTGTCTGACCCAGGGGGTCTGGTGGGGCCCGAGGATTTGCATTTCTGACATGCCCTCCCAACCCCGCTGGGGTGCTCACCCATGTGTTCCAGACATGGTCCACCAGGTGGCGCAGTGGGAGCACCTCCAAACAGGCTATTACGGCCAGCGGGCCCTCCAGGTGGGCAGTTGGCCCCTGTGCACCAGGGACCCTCCGCACAGGCCACGGGTCCCCTCACCCCTGTAGGACTTTTACCCTAAATTGTTGCGACCCAGCTTCAGCTGTGGCATTTCAGACCTCAAAAGTAATAACATTTTTAAAAAATTTTATTTTTAATGTTTATTTATTTTTGAGAGAGAAAGAGAGCATGAGCAGGAGAGGGGCAGAGAGACAGAGGGAGACACAGAATCCGAAGCAGGCTTCAGGCTCCAAGCGGTCAGCACAGAGCCTGAGGTAGGCCTCGAACCCACGAACCGCGAGATCATGACCTGAGCTGAAGTCTGAGGCTTAACCAAATGCGCCACCCAGGTGCCCCAAGAGTAACAGCAATTTATTTATTTATTTTTTTCAACATTTATTTATTTTTGGGACAGAGAGAGACAGAGCATGAACGGGCGAGGGGCAGAGAGAGAGGGAGACACAGAATGGGAAACAGGCTCCAGGCTCTGGGCCATCAGCCCAGAGCCCAACGCGGGGCTCGAACTCACGGACCGCGAGATGGTGACCTGGCTGAAGTCGGACGCTTAACCGACTGCGCCACCCAGGCGCCCCAAAGTAACAGCAATTTAAATGACACAAACTGGTAATGAATAAAGCAGTAAGGAGCTAGAAGTCTTTTTTAATACAGGACTTTTCATGCTGCACAATCAGCATATGCAAAATCGAGCTGAGGAGGATGAAGGGAAGGGTCTTCTGCCTTTACTGTCTTTTGTTCTTACATTTGGTTCGTCAGAGTCAATGGGATCCACTTACTTGTGAAGTTAATTTCCTAACCATCTGCTACCCTTCAGCCTAACTTGCAACGTGAGCTATTCCTGTTTAAACTGTGCGTGCAGTCAACAGCAAGGAAATCACAAGCGTTTGTATGACTCAGACAGTCAATCAAGGAAGTGATTAGTATTTGGGGTGAAGGGAAGCTAATTAAATATGTGCCTAATCATGTATATATGAGAGCAAAGTACTGTAATGAAATTGTCATTTTGAGTGGCACAAGTCAGCATGATGATTAAAAACAAAACTCATGAAGAAATAAGATATTTATTAACTACAGGGAGACTGCAAGATCCAAGTCGTCAGAAAGTTGTACTCAGCCTGGTTATGTGCAGACTCTGACTTTGTGTTCAAGGGTCTTAAATGTTCAGTGCAAGCTATATCCAATTACACTATGAACTAGAGCTATGATTTCTAGCAGTTTTCCAAATGATAGGAGAAAGTAATTATCAAGAATGCACCCTTGTGGAGGGGGAAAGAAAAAAAAAACCCAAATTCTATTAGAGGAAATAAAAGACATGGGAAGAATGTCAAGTTATTTTAGTACAAGCAGATTTCTGAACACTTGATTAACAGAGGGTGTCAGAAATCTTTTTTCTTTTTCTGTATGCCTCCACTGTACTTCAAATTAGCAAAGAATATTGCCTTTATCAAGGCCAAGATTTGCATGTTGCAAAGAGAAGAAAAGAAGTAAGTAGATCATCTTTAATGATGATTCTTGGCACAGTTAGAGCTGGAAGAAGCAAGGGGTAAGTCAGTCTGCGCCCACGAAGTGCCCCGGGCCCACCCCTCAGATGTGTGCACGCTTTAGGCCTCTGGTCGGGGGCGCCGAGGGATCGAAGGATAAGACAGTACAATCTGCTGGGAGGGGACTGTGAGATCCTCAGTCACAGGTCAGTTCAAGGTGAATTTCAGATGGAATCCTACAGTTTAATCGTCACATCTGAGGTGTGTTCTCTGTCCATTCTTCTTCCTTGTAAAGGAAAATCTGTGCTCACATGGTGTCTCAGTCAGCTCGGGCACAAACACCATGGCCAGGCGGCCTAAACAGCAGACATTTCTTTCTCTCCATCCTGGAGGCTGGAAGGCTGAGGTCAGCGTGTCAGCGGGCTCGATTCTTTCCGAGGCCTCTCTCCTGGCGTGTAGACACCATCCTCTCCCCACGTCTGCACGTGCTTGTCCCTCTCTGTGTGTCTGTGTCCTGATCTCCCCCGTTTAAGGACACAAGTCACGTTGGATGATGGCTACCTTAATGACCTCATTTTACTCTAAAATATAAAGGCCGTCTGTGCATACACAGTCTCATTCTGGGGCACCGGGGATCAGAACTCTATTATGAATTTTGGGAGCCCTGAGCACAGAGTGTTATGGCGGCAGTTGGCTTCTGGACGGGAAACCCTAGAGAAGCCTTGTCAGAAGTGAGCCCATGGCTCAGCAACTCTACCAGGTGAGTCCCGCTCCAAAGGGCACAGATTCTACCCAGTTCCTAACCACCGCGTGGCGCGCCGTGGTTACTGAGGGCAATGGGGGTCTGGGGTCAACTTCTACTTCCAAGAAGCAAGATGTCGATACATTTAAAATGAAATTTTAATTTCATAATTTCATGCTGCAATTTAAAATGTTCAGCAGTAAGGGGCACCTGGGTGGCTCAGTCGGGTAAGCGTCCCACTCAATATCAGCTCAGGTCACGATCTTGCGGTCATGAGTTTGAGCCCCGAGTTGGGCTCACTGCTGAACGTGAAGCCTGTTTGGGATTCTCTGTCTCCCTCGCTCTCCTCTCTTTCTGCCCCTCCCCGGCGTATGCTCTCTTTCTCTCTCTCAAAATAAATAAACTTAAAAAAAATTATAAAATGTTCAGCAATAACTAAATCACTCTGTGGACGAGGTACTAATGCCTCTCAGTCAAAAGCACAGTGTGTTTCCTGCAACATGAGAACGGCTGGCTTGTGGTAAACCCCGCGGAAGGCAGCGGGAGAGAACCATCGCCCATGGTGCACGCGGATCCCGTGTCTCGCTGGCCACGACTCGGACAGTCACCCTGCCTGCCCCGCGCTTCTCTACTGAGCACTCCAAGCAGAGCAGGCGTGGATGGGCCGAGGCCCAGTGTGAGAAAACCGGCCTGCCTCTTGGTTCACGGGAGCGCCCGGCGCTCCTGCCTGAACACGGAGGGCCGCACAGTTCCCGGGGAGGTGGGAGATGACGCACCGGAGGAGGCACAGCCCATGTCCCCAGAGCGTCCCTCCTGTAGCTGGTGGCCAGAGACGGGCACAGCCGTCATCACACGGGGAGGGCTTTGGGGGCTGTGATTCTCCAAGTGTATCCTCAGACCAGCAGGGTCAGCATCCCCAGCGAGAGGGTTGGAAATGCAGATTCCTGGGCCCCGCCCGGATCTGCTGAGCCACGACCTCCGAGTGTGTAGCCCAGAAACCAGCGTCTGAACAGGCGGTCTAGGTAAGGCTGCCAGGCACGGTGAATAAAATAAAGGCACACAGTTAAATTTGAATTTTAGAGAAACCCGATTTTTTCACGGGACATACTTATACTGAAATTGATTCATTGTTTCTCTGAAATACAGATTTCATGGGGCTTCTGCCTTTCCTCTGGCAGCTCAAACCCCAGGAGATTCCGATGCTAAAGTTTGGGAATCACTGGTATAGAGATTTGCCCTGATCTGGCACTTTCCATGATGAACTTCAACGGGTTTTCATCAGATTCCTCCCGACTTTTATCTTTCTCTGCTCCTTTTGTAACTAATGACTCCATGTTCTACAGACTTCTTTTCCTGAATCTGGGTCTGGCTTATCCAAGCCAAGCAGACACCCAGAATGTGGTCGTATTTTCGTTTCCACCACAAGGGACTTGGAATGTAGTCGTTACTGGGGAGAAGGACGTGACCCCAGCAGCCGCGCCAGGCGGAACTGCCCTCAGCTCCTTCTCATCTCTGTCCTTACGCTTACAGGTCGCATTAAGATTTGTTCTGATATTTGCACGGTTACCCGACAGCCTTACCGTTTGCTCCCACTGTAGATTCGAGGGCCTCCCCCGACCCCACCTCCTCCCCCCCAGGCCTCTCCAGAGAGAGCAGGAACATCAGGTGCATAGTCCTCTCCCAGATCATTCTTGTCGAAACGCACCAGACAGTCCATGAAACAGCACGTTTCGGGAATACGGGAATGGCGGCCAAGCATCATACACTCACCCCCTTTATGTCCAAGTGACATTCGTCGTCACGGAGGTATGAAGCTCTTGGAGGAGCTGATGTGAACCTTGGAAGACATGAACCACACACAGGGCTGCGCTGATCCGTCCTGGCCCTCACGTGGGAGTGGGGTCAGAGGTCCGAGAACGGGGCCATGAGGAGTATTTGTAGAACTCTGGAAGGCGGACACGTCACAGTTACTGACCACATAGCTTTGTTTCAGACAGCTGAAGAGCCTTCTGTCCCCACATTTGTCGCCCTGGGTACCTGTCCCTCTTCCCTTCATGTCTGATTCTCTGTTCTCTCCCTTGTTTCCTCTGTCTTTTGCTCCTCAGTTTGGTCAGGGATGGTTTTTAAATGTCACCCTCCCCCCCCCCCCCGCCCAAACTGCATGGACCTACTACATGCTGTTTGTGGCTTGTGGCTAACCGGAAAGGGGTTAGACTGTGCACCCTCTGACCAGCACACCTGCCCAATCCACAAGTGCGTTCGTAAGACCCTCAGAAGTCATGTCCTTGTTCTGCATCTGGCTCGTGCCTCCACACGTGCATGTTACTAGGTCACAGCCATTAAATATAAAGGAAAAGAGAACCCCATTTTTTTTTCCTAAGTGTTTGTTTATTTTTGAGAGCAGGTGAGGACACACATGGGGGAGGGGCAGAGAGGAGAGAGTCCCAAGCAGGTTCCACGCTGTTAATGCAGAGCCCAACATGGGGCCTGAATCCATGAACTGTGACCTGAGATTGTGACCTGAGCCAAAGTTGGATGCTTAACCGACTGAGCCACCCAGGCACCCCAAGAGAACACCATTCTTGAAAATCATTGTAGATGGAGCTCTGGTTTTGATTCTGGGTTGGACACTGAGCTGTATGGAGCTATTGATAGTTAAAAGACAAATCCTGGGGCGCCTGGGTGGCGCAGTCGGTTAAGCGTCCGACTTCAGCCAGGTCACGATCTCGCGGTCCGGGAGTTCGAGCCCTGCGTCAGGCTCTGGGCTGATGGCTCGGAGCCTGGAGCCTGTTTCCGATTCTGTGTCTCCCTCTCTCTCTGCCCCTCCCCCGTTCATGCTCTGTCTCTCTCTGTCCCAAAAATAAATAAAAAACGTTGAAAAAAATTAAAAAAAAAAATAAAAGGCAAATCCTTTAATACAGCACGTGCTGTTGTTTATGACAGACAGTAACTGACCAACCAAGGCTGGTTGAATGCAGGGTGTTAGTCGGCTGAGGGCTTAGGAAGGTCATATAATAAATAATATTTGGCAAATGCGTTCAAGAAACGGAGGTAAATATGTCACTCTTGGTGGTGACACGTGATTACAGACAGAAAGTTGCAGCCCCCAGCGTTGATGGAAGCTTTTTAACATTGGGTTTTCTTTTCCTCGAGCAGATTTGCCCAACGATTCAGCATAGCAAGAAAACAGTGCATTTTATACTTAGGAAGAGGGCATGTGGTAGTCGAGACACAGGCTGTTCACATGTTCCTATCAGGTGGGTTTGAACTGTGGCAGTGAGGTTGGGACAGCTTAGGCTGGTGACTGCCTGTGTGGCCTTAGTATCGACTGGAGTTGTAGTCACAAAAGATCATTCCAGGATCTGAACAACTGAGATTTCAGCCCTGTTGCCAAATAGGGGGCGATGTCCCTGTCATGACACGGACACTCGATGATCCCCGCTCTGGGGTCCTTCTCACATAGTCGACGCCATCGCTGTGCGCTGATTTCCACCACGTAGATTCAGCATCTGGACAAACAGGCGGACCTCTCCAGTGTGGCTGCAGATGGGGTGTGCGTGCGCAGAGCCAGGAGGGGCGGCCGGTGAGGTTGGCAAGGCAGGACAGACAGCACGGGCGGTGCTGCTGGGGCTTGATTCCAAGCAGTAACTCCAGTCGTTTACAAGGTTTTCATGTCATAGTTTTTAATGCATTGATGACTGATGGCAGGAGTTCTCAATTATTCACGAGATGGTTCCCATAACTCCTGCTCAAGTTCCCCAAAACAGTCATGTGGGAATTAACTTCCAAATATTATTATGCTTTAAAATCGTATTACCTCAGAGTGGATGTGTGGTTGGAAAAAGAATATGTCACCCGCCTTCTGCCTGGCAGGCGTTCTGTGCTTGCCCTGGGGGCTGTAAACGCCCGTCTGGGCCCCCGCCTCCCGGAGCCCCCTGATCCTGCCCCAGCTCCGGCCCTGGGCCAGTCGGGAGCACGTGCACGCTGAGACCCGGGCCATGGAAACGTCCCAGGAGGACATCTGCAAAGACCTCTGTGTCGGCCACTGTGTTCAGATGAGTTGGCTGAGGAAAGCGGTGTTAGCTGAGGTTCTCCAGAGAAACAGAAGCAACACTGTGCGTATACGTAAAACGACAGGGAGTGAGGTGAGGAGGGAGAGAGAGAGTGGAAGAGATGTATTTGAGGAATTGGCTGGCAGGTCTAAGATCTGCGGGGCAGTGGCGGGCTGGAGACCCGGGGAAGACTGCTGCAATCTTGAGTCTGAAGGCAGAGTTCCCTCTTCCTTGGGGAACTTTAGTCTTTAAGACTAAACCTGATCAGACGAGGCCCACCCACATTATGGAGGGCCATCTACTTTGAAGTCTGCTAGTTTTATTTATTTATTTAGTTAGTTAGTTAGTTGTTATTATTTTAGAGAGAGAGTGTGTGAGCAGGGGAGAGGAAGGGAGAAGGGCAGAAGGAGAAAGAGAGAGAGAGAGAGAGAGAGAATTTCAAGCAGGCTCCATACTCAGCACACAGTCCTACTCAGGGCTCAATCCCACAACCTTGGGGTCATGACCTGAACCAAAATCAAGAGTCAGACACTCGACTGAGCCACCTAGGCTCCCCTGTACCAGAAGTAATGAAAAATTTTCCAGGAACTTCTACAGTGTTTTCTTTGGACCCAACTTGTGAGCAGTTGCCATTCAGCGCTTAGAATAGAGCACAAGACGACTGCCGTTTGGCTGCCGCAAAAGGCACACGGCTTCGGGATGGGAGCCCAGGGGCGCCTTGGGGGGCTCAGTCGGTTGAGCGTCCGCCTTCAGTTCAGGTCACGATCTCGCAGTCCGTGAGTTCGAGCCCCACGTCGGGCTCTGCGCTGACAGCTCGGAGCCTGGAGCCCGCTTCGGATGCCGTGTCTCCCTCTCTCTCTGCCCCTCCTCTGCTTGCACTCGGTCTCTCTTTCTCTCAAAACTAAACATAAAAAAAAAAAAAAAAGGAATGGGAGCCCAAAGCCCAGGGTGTACTGGGATCCTCCTCAAGGATTACAGAGTGGCTGGTTCAGAGGCCCTGAAGAGAAATCTCCAGAAAGGGGGTGTGAACGAGGCCCACCTGCTGGTGTCTGTGGGGTCTGCAGTCACTTGGGGCCTCTCCTGTCAGGAGCCCAGCGGGTTTTCTCAGAGGCTTCTATTTCTAGCTCCCTTCACAAAGCGCATCTCGAGGCAGCATGATGAGCAGGAAGTGGAGCAAGTGGATGAGAGCTGCTGTGCGCTCCCCGCACCCTCCCCAACCGTGAGCCTGCTCCTTGAGCTCTCCCGGGGGGCTGGGGCCTCTCCTGGCCACGGGATGAGGTGGCCAGCTGGGTGCCAAGGGGACCAGACACCTTGCAAGAGCGCCTCCCCGGAGAGTAGGCTTCTCTGCAGTGACAGAGAAAACAAGAGGACACTGACCTGCTGTCTGTGGCAGTTCCCGTGGCCTTCCCGCATCCCCCCCCCCCCCCCCGTCCCCGTCCCCCTCGCTGTGACTGGAGCCCCAGGTGAGGGCTTCCCTCAGCTCCTTAGTGGGTTCGAACCCCACATCAGGCTCTGTGCTGACAGCTCGGAGCCTGAAGCCTGTTTTGGATTCTGTGTCTCCCTCTCTCTGCCCCTTCTCTGCTCACACTCTGTCTCTGTCTCTCTATCAAAAAATTAAACATTGAAAACAAGTTTTTAAAAAATCCATAAGGGGCCCCTGGGTGGCTCATTCGGTTGAGCGTCCAATTTTGGCTCAGGTCATGATCTCATGGTCCGTGGGTTTGACCCCCGCATTGGACTCTGTGCTGACAGCTCAGAGCCTGGAACCTGCTTCGAAATCTGTGTCTCCCCCTCTCTCTGACCTTCCCCGGTTCATGCTCTGTCTCTCTCTCACAAAAATAAACATTACAAAAATTTAAAAAAAGAAATGAATTTCTCTTATGAAGAAAATTTATTCAACCCACAGAAACTCCCGACTTCAGTTTCATCTTCTTCCATTAAATTCCAGAAAACTTAGTTTGACAACTTTACTTAAAAATTGCATGCGTAATATTTTGTTTAATGTTTATTTATTATTATTATTTTTTTAATTTTTTTTTCAACGTTTATTTATTTTTGCGACAGAGAGAGACAGAGCATGAACGGGGGAGGGGCAGAGAGAGAGGGAAACACAGAATCAGAAACAGGCTCCAGGCTCCGAGCCATCAGCCCAGAGCCTGACGCGGGGCTCAAACTCACGGACCGCGAGATGGTGACCTGGCTGAAGTCGGACGCTTAACCGACTGCGCCACCCAGGCGCCCCTAATGTTTATTTATTATGAGAGAGAGAGAGAAACAGAGAGAGAGAGAGTGCGAGCAGGGGAGGGGCAGAGAGAGAGGGAGACACAGGATCTGAAGCAGGCTCCAGGCTCCGAGCTGCCAGCCCAGAGCCCGACGCGGGGCTCGAACTCACGAACCGTGAGATCACGACCTGAGCTGAAATCGGAAGCTTAACCGACTGAGCCACCCAGGCGCCCCTACATGTATAATATAATGTCACGTTTGTAATTCTCTCCCCATCCTTTGGTTTACCTTTCGGCACATGTAGAAAGTTACTCTCTAGGTGCTGCCTAGTGTTGCTTTGAGCTGATTGGAGTCAGGATGAGATTTATATTCTTTTTTTTTTTTTTTCTGTATCACTTTTTTAAATAACAAGAATCAGTTACCATTTGGAAAAAATAATGTTTTAAAAAGCATATTCTCATGGGGCACCTGGGTGGCTCAGTCGGTTGAGCATTTGACTTCGGCTCAGGTCATGATTTCACGGTTCATGAATTCTAGCCCCACGCTGGTCTCTGTGCTGACAGCTGAGACTGGAACCTGCTTTGGACTCTGTGTCTCCCTCTCTCTCTGCCCCTCCCCTGCTCGTGCTCTGTCTCTCAAATATAAACCTTGAAAAAAAAAATTAAAAATA